TTTTCTGCCTTGTGTATAAAATATACACATAGGTGCACATGCGCAAGCACACACGCACAACTTGCAAATTAAATGAGTTAACGCTCTGTCAACTTCCTGTAGACATTGACCCTGGGGGTCAAACTCTTAGGAAAATTACCCCTGGTTTTCCATTCCCAGTTCCCAGTCCCCGCCAACCCGCAGTCTCACAAAGAATTTCTCGAGAGAATATGTAGCTGCATTGGCAACAAAAATCCTCTCTGCAAAATGGGAAGAGAGAGTTGCTAACTGATGAGTCAATCCAGCTTTTATAGCAGTTTATCTTCATGGTATTTCCAAGAGCATAAATGCTATAAAAAGAGAGGGGGTGGGGGGGGGGGGAGAAAGAGAGATGGCCACGACAGGAAGAACACAGTAGAAAAAAACAGGAACATTTAAGCCAAAAGCAATTTACTTTGCCAGTAACTGGTTACATTTCCTTTGTTTTATTATTATTATTGTTACAAGAGTTGAGGCTGAGATGAAAGTTTCCCACACCTGCACTGCCCGAACACACAACTTGTCTGAACTTGTTTTGCTCTGTCGTTGAGAAAATAACTATAATCCATTAATATTTGAAAATATTGAAAAAAAATAAAGAAGAAGAAAGAAAACAGCACAAAAATGAATTAGATGTCAGAGTAGCCTGGATGGCTGGAGGTGGTTTGGTTCTCTGGGGATTAACACCCCTGACTTCGCAAAGGTGAATACTTGTGAATTTCTTATCACTGAGTAAGAGGAAGAGATGAGCAATTGGAGAAAATAATTCTTTTTAAACCACAGAGATCTTTTCACTGATTAAGCAGAAGAGTCACAGGCCCACTGTAAAGGGGTAGTGTGCATGGGACTCTGGCAAAGTTTTAGTGGCTTTCCTGAAGTCCTGTCACCCACTGCTAAGTCTAGACTAGACTGAGGGGACCCTGTTCTCTGTCAAGTCAATGGGATGCAGAGTGATTGCTGAGATGGGTATTGTGCAGTATTTGAGAGTATTTTTATGCTTACTGGTGACAGCCACCTCAAGTTAATATGAATACCTCATTATGAGACAGAGTGAGTATGTATGTCTATTAGAATCTGCTTAAAGCAGAGGCTCTGGATAAAGTCCAGTTGCCTGGGTTGGAATTCCACTATCAATAACCATTTGCATGACCTGAGACAAGTAATTTCATCTCTGCCTCAGTTTCTTGATCTGTAAAACAGGGATAAGAATTTGCATCTCCCTCATTGGTTTGTCGTAAATTTTGAATAAGTTATTGCACATAAAGCATCCTGAACAGTAACAAGCACACAGCAAGTATGAAGTATTAGCTACTTTGGTTATGGGTATGTAATATTGAAAATATTCATACAAAAAGCACTTACTGAACTCTACGATGAGCCAGGCCAGGGGATTATTTACGCATAGAAGCACAAGTAGCTGTGCAATTATTGCTTTGCACTGTTAATTGTTTAAAGAACTGTCAGGAACCAAGTGTGTACCAGGGAGTGTACCACTGGCTCTGCAGAACTTTGTGAATAGACATTAGTCCAACCTAAAGCACCAAAGCTGCTACAATTCTGGAATCTTAGACTCTTGGCTTTCTCATATGTATATAGTCCTTGGCTTTCAAGAAGAGGGTATATATGAGTCCATCCAGGGTGATTGGAAGGAGTGGAGCTGTTTCTTAAGTAAATAAATAAAAATTCAGAGCCCACCCTGCCCCTGGCCACCATCACATCATGGTGTATTTACTTTGAATCACTGGCCTAGCAAATGATTTGTTTTACTGCTCCCAAGGAGAAAAAGATGAAGTCTGGAAACCAGAAATTCCTCTATCCTCAAAAGCCAGCCCCTCAATCCCAAAGTTTCAGCTGGGGTCTTTTGAATCCAAAAAGTCTTCTTTTGTATTTTGGGGATTCTTGCCTAATGTTTACTGCTCCTCTGCTTCTAGGACATTGAACATTTGTGGTCTTCATTTGTTCATTGCATGTAGGACAAGGATATGACCTTACCAAGATGCCAAACACAATGGCTCAACAGTTATCAGGAGGCCTCCTATCCCAATTCACAGTGCAACTTCAAGTCATTGGCTTATGTTCTATGAGCATCAGCACAAGTCATAAAGGTGAATGCAGTTTGACCAGTGTCCAGAATCCCAAGTATACCACATGGTCAGGTTGGCCAGCCCAGTTCATGAGGTTGCAAAGAATATGTGGCCATCTTTATTTTCATTAGTCACTTGTTCATTCCATAAATTTGTTACGTAATGCCACCCCCTGAGTGTTGTGCTGGGGCAGATAAGAGCTGAATGGACATGGTCCTGCCCTTAAGGCCAGTCCACTATAATTATAAGCCAAAAAGCACAGCTCCAGCACATGAAATTTAGTGATATGTTCCATAAGAGAAGGATAGCAAAAGAGAGGGGAGGCTTAAAGACAGAGTTGAGTTCGAGCCTTGAGATACTAGTGAGAATTACTTAATAGTACCTGAGATACACAAGTACTTGTCCTATTAGGAACCAAAGGTTTTTGCTCTTGATCAAATTCCATTTAGAGTTTCAGTTTATGTGACCAGAATATTTGGTGCTAGTCTGTTCTAAATTTGTAATTCTCAGAATCTGCTGGGGAAGGACTTGTGCTTCTTTGGGTTCTGAAAACAGCTCAAAGAATGGAGAAAATAGACTCAGTTGGGGGATGACTTCTTGTGGGTTCCTGGAACCTTTGCCTTTGGTATTTAAAATGGCATGTTCAATGCAAGTTATCTTTTTCAAAAAAGGCCTTTGGGATTTGAAAGCTTTTCTGGAAATAAATGCCTTTTAGGTTTTAAGTGCTTTTCACCAAAATGTTGGGAGGGGAAGATGATAGTAACAAGTCTTAGAACAGAGGGGATATTGTTCTGGGACTTGTGATGAAATGTCTCAGACCTGCTCCCCCAGCCGACCCCCCCCCCCCACACACACACACCTCCTTTCCAGTTCTGTTTGTTTCTGTCAAGTTTTTCTGCTGGGCTATTATTTTGATAAGGGACATGAAAGTACATCCTTTCCTGGGGGTCATTAAAGTCTTAACACTTGGGTCACTTGTGGAAACACTTCTGTGCTACACAAAAGTCTTCTAAACAAAATAGCCCCCACCCTGGCTCCAGGCTGTGGACCGTGTCAGATTCATGGAACGTGGCATCACGCTCCAGTCAGAGGAGCAAGAGGTCAGGATCCACAAAACAGGCCGGATGAAATCACCAGCCCCAAGAGCGGGGAGGTGGAGAGAGCAGAGCCCTCCCTGCCAGTCTGGCAGCTCCAGCAAAGTGCTCAGAGCTCATCCCACACACTCGGTGCTAGTCACTGCCGAGTGTTTACATGAGTAATGGAGCTGCCGGGGGAGGGGAGTTGTAAGCAGAGACCGAGCCTCGCGGGGAGCATTCACAGGGAGGCTGACACACACGGAGTAGAGACTTCAGGGATGTGGCCGGGGAGCAGTCACATGCTGTAGCTTTCATGAACACAGACATCAATCAGGCAGATGTTTGTCGACTGGAATGGGTAATCTCTACTTTCTCTTTGCTTGATTTTGTTTGTGAGCTTGTTTACCTTTGATAATTCCGGGCTGGCTTTCTGGGATGGACTTTCAGACCAATGTTTTGAGGAATGAGATGAGAGCGGGACTGGGAAAGGGGACCTGAGCCCCGAAACCACTTTTGGAACTTTTTGTTTTTGTTTTGTTTTTCTCTCTTGATTGACAAGGCAGCTAGCTCTCTCTCTGCCTTGCTGAGCTTCACAGCAAAAACTGATAACCGCAGCAGAAAAATGAAATTAAAGGGATTAATTGTGTCTGTAAAAAGAGTACAAATGTAAAATATCCTAAAACCACGGGTTAAACTGCTTGTCATAAGTGAGATTTAACAACAGTGAAGAGGGTTTCGCGTTGTTCAGATTGGACATTGTCATAATCATCTCTGGAAGTAATAGAAAGTGTCGGGTACCTTTAAAGGTCTGAAAGAAGTTGCCGGGATTGAATTCATGAGTTTGGAATTGTTCAAGGGCAGTTTGGTTAGTTGGTTGGTTTTAATTTTGCTGGACTTGAGTGACTGATGAAATCAAATGTGAAAGCTGCTGCCGGACAGTCACAGCACTCCATAAACAGCAGCCTCCCCCGCCCCACTACTTTTTGTACAGATCTTAAAAGGGACCAAGCTCAACATCAAGGATGAAATAGAACTGATTTATATCTTGTCTATGGCTTTTAAATAGTTTAACCCCAGTGGAATCAAGTTAACCCCAGCATAATCTTTGGGATTTATTTTAAATAACCCTCTAGATCTTCATAAAAAATATATTGAGAAAGAAAAGAGAACATGCTGATTTAAATGTATCTCCCAGATTTATTGAGATTTGAAACATGCTGGTCATGATGTTATTAGTAAAAACACATAAAAATACTTTCCAGTTTATTATTGTAAAAGACTCCATAGCTTGTGCTCTCTCTCTCTCTCTCTCTCTCTCTCTCTCTCTCTCTCTTGTTACTCTGTATGATAATTTGAGAAAATGTTCATGTCTCCAAACACTTTCGAAGAGAGATGTTTTCAAGTGTTAGTTTACTATGATACATAATGTGCTGGTATTATCACTTAGGTTTCAGAAAACAAGACACAAAACCAAATACACAGAATGATCTTGAAGCCCAGTTCAGGGTTATCTTTCAGCCTCAAATGCTTCTTTTCTAACGGTGGGGAAGGGCATTTTTCTTATCATCATCCTTTAGTCTTCATTTTATTTATATTAATTAGACATAGTCAAGTATAATCACTTAGCTTTGGGAAATGTACAGAGGGGGATAGTCTACCGAACTGCAGCCCTCCAGAGAGAGAAGTATCTAATGAGAGTTGGCTGCCACAGATATGTACATTTCTCTGAACAACTAGAGGATATCACTGCTATAAGATTGTCTTTACTGAGGAAAGCCATGCCAATGAAAATGTATATCAATTATTCTCCATTTGTTTTCAGCGCCAAATCTTAAAGGCAGACCACGCAAAAAGAAACCGTGCCCACAAAGAAGAGATTCATTCAGTGGAGCTAAGGATTCCAACAATAATTCCGATGGTAAAGCTGTTGCCAAGGTATGATCATTCACTCCGTGGTATTCACTTTGATGCATTTTTTCATTTTTTTCTTTTTCTCTTCATCTTTCTGCTCTTGTGCCTTGGTGGCAGTTTTCAATTTAGAATTGGACTTTGGTATTCAGAGCTTTTGAAAGCACTATGCATGTCTGTTCCTGCCACCTTCCTTCCCTGGTGTCTGGGGGTGGTGGGAGGCAGGCATTTTGATTTGTCAACAGAAAGGCTTCCCACCTCCCAGTTTGGCCTGTTGGATAAAGGACAGATGATTAAGCACCCACGTCACTGAGGCTGAGATTTCATAGTAGGTGACACAATGACATAGTTTACTCTGCTCGAATCAAAAATAGACCAGCTGAACCATCCTCTTTCTGAAAGTGTTCATCTAAATATGTTTCAGAGATTAGCAGAGGATGAAATTAGAAATGGCTAGAATTAATCTTTTTAGTTATGTACTTTTCAAAGTCACCTCTAATTCACATTAGAATAAAATTAAAGATACACAGTAAAATATTTATATGTATACATATTCTCATATATCTACTTCTATGTTTTTAAAAATCTCTGTTAATGAAGAAAGTCTCAATTCCAGGCCCCCTTTGACCCAGACCATTTTGTGTAAGCATTAATTAGAATCTTTATAGTGTGCACCCATAGTATTTAAAATAGCACCATGAAAGGTGAAAAGTCACGTCATATTTTTAGACTTATCTTTTTGAATTTTGTGGGATTGGGTCAGATTTCCATGTTCCGGTCATTGGTTTGTGTGTGGGTGTTGTTTCTGAGCCAAAGACAGCAATAATCCGTTTGCGACCTGAATTGAATACCAGATTTGAACTGACAGCACATTTCCAGATGGAAGAACTAAACTTTTGAAAATGGGAGCATTTGGATTATTGATGAATTTGGAAGATTTTGCTGTAGGCAAAAAAAAAAAATGAATTCTGTGTTGACATTCTACTATTTATCTCCCATGTACTCCACCCCTTTCTGGGTGTAATGAAGTAAGTCTTAGACGTTCACATTCCATAAATCTTATCTTTGCATATGATTGTTTCATCAAGAAGTTCTGAAGACTTCTTGGGTAGGATTTCTTCATGCTTTTATGATTCTAAAGGGTTAAAAAGAGCTCAGTAAGTAGAAATGTGCCGTTTCCAATTGACCTTCTGTTAGTGAGTGCACAAGGATACCACAAAGGACATTTTCTTGTGAGCTGGACAGGGCCCTAGAGCTCCCTACCTAGGGCTTTGGTTCTCATGGTCTTGAAGGATGTCAGCTGGAATAGTTTATCCTTGTGATATGAACATAATATAGTTTGCAAGTTCCTGCAGATTCTGCATAGTGGAGCAAGAAGGGTTTAGACCTGTCACATTCAGCAGAGTGGGTACTGCCCATGCCTCATGTTGATGCCGGTCCACGCCTGAAGAGTGACATCATGTGTTTACCCCAGCATATATTGTGCCTGAGTCCAGCAGGATGAAGCTACTTCCCTAGTGCTTTGGAGTTACTATCAAGTATGCCTCTGGGGATTTTCTAAAACTCATACAATTGATCTGAAAGAACACTGCTTCCAAAGTTCCTCTCTACAGAAGGCAGCTCGGACTCATATGCAGGCTCACAAAACTGAGGAAGACAGGAGCCTGCTCTAAGGATGGGTCATATTAGATGTCCACTGACTTATTCTCATTAGGAGGGATGGAAGTCAAGCCTGAGATTTCTAAGTGACCCCTTCACCCCACCTTGTACCACTGCTGTCATTCAGAATTTTTACAAGGGACACATAACCCATCTGTTGTTCATGTGCTGGGTGAATGTCATGCAGCAGTCAGCTCCTGGGGACTGGTCAGATGGCTTGGCTCCTTTTGCAGTCTTGGATTAGAGTCCTGCCTTGGTCATTTCCAGTGGGTCTCCAAAACCACTTCAACTCACTGAGGAAGATTGATTGATAGGTGTGAAGTGTGGTGAGCTCGTCTGTTAGTACCTGTCTAAAAAACCCTACAGAGTGAACAAGCCACATCTGGGACCAGGACAGCTATTAAAATGGCACTTGTTTCTTAAAGTGGTCTTTTCCCATGAAATGCTATAGTAGAGAGTATAAGTTGTGACCATCTCTTCATTTGCTGAACTGGAAGGAATATGTTAGGCGACCATGAGCTGTTTGACTTTAAGGGCTGTGTGACTCTTCTTTATTTTTATTTTTTTTTTTAAAAAAGTGCCTCAAACAGACCTTTTCTAACTATGGATAAGTACCAGCTTCCTGCAGCTCCACACAGCAAAGCTCCTAGAGTGGGACCCTCTGGGTTTGTATTCGTGCCTGGTAATTTGCCTGTCACTATCAAAAGGTTGCAGTCTCTTCAAGGAGTACATGATGGCAGCTTTGCAAGACCCTGTTTTCCCAGGGAGAGAGAATTTTATGACTTCTCAAAGACAGCAAAAGTCACATGGGGAGAGAGCTACCAGTTCTCTGAAGACATTCGGTTTAAATCCTGTCTTTTTTCTGGGATCATTTTAAAGCAGCAGATCTGCAGCCTTGTCTTGTTCTTAGAGCAATCTGCTCTAGATAAAACTTGGCCTAAGTTGCTAATGAAAGATCTATATTGATAGAAGGCAAATATTTCCCTATACCTTTCAAGCATTTTCCAAAGACCAGAAGTGTGTAACAGGTGGTTTATATTCAAAAGGGAACACAGAGAAGGACACGATGGTGTGCAATATTTACTTTTACTTAAATCACAAACATACTCTAATATTTCACAAATGCAATACTTCCATTATTTTCAATACTTTTCAAGTCAATTGCATCTCAGAACTATCCCCAGGGATTATCCTTGCTTCACCAAGGAATAAACTGAGAGTCACCTAGCAAATCAGTGGCCAAACCAAGATTAGAACTCTAGCTTGTTTATTACTAGTTCAGCATATCTTGCGGCCCCAGTTAAAGACTAGATTAGTTATAACTCAATCCCGTGGAAGGATGTGGTTAATATCAAATAGGTGGTGGTTCATTGAAAACATTAAATGTTGATTCTCTAATTAGTACTTCCTCAATCACTTTGGAAACCCCAGAGCGCTTAGTGAACGCAACAGGTGTACAGTGTTCAGGTCAGGAAAAACAAATCTAGTAATTAACTGTCACTATCAAAAGGCTGGGCTTTCTCAAGGTCAAAATGAAGACTAGCTCATGTTTCCATTCCACCTGCACTGCAATAATTCAGTAGATTAAAATACTGAGAATGTGTTGGATAAATGTAGAAAAAAAAAGTGTAGAAAAGAACTTGGTCCTACCCAGAAACAGAATAATACCTTAAACTTATATAAACTAAAAAAAAAAAAAAAAAATAAGTAAAAATAAAAAGTATCGAGCTAGTGGCAGCCGGGAAGCCACTGTTTGCTTGTTTGCTTCTTGCTGATAGCTGGTCTCCTTGGGTGCAGCATGCTGGGGCACCCACTGAGATCAGGATGCAGTTCACCAGGCAGCACCCTGGCTTCACTGGGAGCCTGTGCTGTGAAGCAAGGGGTGGGAATTATTTTGGACCTGGTTACTGCACCCTGGTGGGTTTTCCTTCTGTTTCTGGGTGTTTCTACACAAGTGAGGCACAGTGTTAAACAGCTCTCTAGACATTGAAGAGCAAACTTCATAGTCCCTAAGCAGTAGTGCTTCTGACCTAATAATAGAGATAATCTGTCCGTTACCCCTGCAGATTTAAGCCTCAGCCTGTTTTACCCACAGTCCTTAGTTCTACTCTTGCTATACCAGACTGGAGTTTGGAGCTCTCTCTATACCAGAGCTCTAAGCCCACTCATCTGTCCCGCACCAGCCATTTGACAAGACCCATGACCACTCTCAGTCTCAGTTTTCTCCACTGTAAAATGGAGCTAGAGATCTCCTTTTTTTCAATTCTTATGGACATGAGGGTAGGCTCTCTGAAACCATAGCCTTGTATCTAGCTCATCGTGGGTGCTCAGTTGATGTAGGGTTTCCTTCTCTTAGCTTTATATACAATAGAAGGAATGAAGCTCTTTTATGATTTGAAAACCACCTAGTCTTGTATTTTATGTCTCACTTGAAAAATCGCATTTCTAAGTGGTAAGTTTTGTAATGCCTAGTAATAAGATTTACTTTTTTAATTAAAAAGTTCATTTTGACTGCAGATTTTAACATTTTTATTAAGAGTGTCGGTAAAGCATAGTGTATTAAAACCACAAACCCTAGAGTTCGACATTAAAGGCAGAGTTCAGTTCCAAACTTACCACTTGTGAATTTGTGTATGTTCATATAAACTTGTACATGTTTACATGTTGCTCATTCTATCTGTACCTCAGTTTCCACTTTCATAATTTGAGAATAAGAACCTACCTCACCAGGGGCTGGGAGCATGAAATGAAATAATTAACATCTAAACACCTCTTACAATAGACCCTGGCCACCTAATAAACACTCCAAAAGGGCTGAAAGGCAATATAGATTAAAACTAGAGTGATTTTATGAGCCATCAAATAATAAATTTCATCAGAACTTTGGACCCAACAACCTAGAATTTGGCAGTGAAAGATGATGACGGCATAAAGTTTCACAGGATGTTTGCCTTCATATAATACCACAAAGTACCAAAGTATGAGAAGATTGTAAATAAAACTTCTACATGGAAAAAAAAAACTGTTTTAATCTCATTTCCACAGCCCCTTAAAAATTAAAACCTTATCTAGAGGCCCCGCTGAAAGAGTTGTGCATGAAGTTTTATTTTTCTAGGACCAGTCTAACAACATCAAACTAATGTGTTCACTTGAGAGAATAAGCAATAAAGAAAACCCTCGCAGAAGATGCTCCCCTTTAATACATAAGCTTGGTCTTTTATGTTCTTCGTGCTTGGAAGGAGAATCTGCAGGGAAAGAATAAGGGTTCAGAAATCTGAAATGGAGAACACTGTAGAATCTGTGGGGCATTTTTATTCATAACATTTCCTCAGCACTTGCCCTCTTCCTGCCCGATGTTAGATATGGAGATGTAAAGAATATTGGAATGTACACATTCCCCATGGGCGCACTTGAACTCCAAGTCTGACCCTTTGTACTTCCCCCTTTTACAATTAAAATAGCTCAGCAACTTAGTGTTATATTTAACAACCATCAAAGGCCTCTTGTAGAACATGGCAGCTAGGAGGGAACATTAGGTTAGCAGCTCCACATGCCGAGCTCCATATCCGCCTGTAGTGTGGAAGGAAGAACATCTGGAGCGCTTACCGCCATTTATTTCTTAATCATAGAGCTTTTCACTCACTCTTCTTGAGTTTTTAGCTGACCTCGACTCTGTCTTTTGTGGCAAGTGAACATCTTCTATTATAGTCTCAGAGCCGACTGAAAAGCAAGAAGTCCTCATTAAAGAGTGGGGTCTTTTGTTTCCTACTGAGGGTGTATTCAGGCGTCACCCTTAGGTGACAGACAGAAGAGACCTGGCTGGCTTTCATGTTACCAGTATGGGCTGGCATTGGCTTGTTTTTCCAGGTTGCTGGCAAGAATAGCAACAAGATAAGTTTACCAAACTTGTCATTCATTTTGATACAAAGTGTAACAAACTGGGACAATTTATTTAAAAAGCAAAGTTTGTTCAAGGACACAGATAATATCCCTTAGGGGGGGAAAAAAGATGTGTCAAGAAGCAGACAAAAAGGTTCATACAAACACTATTTCTGGCTTCAGCATACTTGTAAAGAGTCTAAAAGAAACTGGTGTAGTTAAGCAGACTACAGGCCACTGGCCACCTGTTTCTGTCAGTAAAGTTTTATTGGAACATAGCCACACCCGATCATCTACATGTTGCTCTTAAGCTAGAACAGAGTAATTCTAACAGAGACCACAGGGCCCCAAACTCTAGGATATTTAACATGTGGCCCTTTACAAATTGACCATCACCTGATCCTAGGATAGTTCACATGTGATGATACTTCTAAAAAGCCATTTCAGGGCAAGAGTAATTTACTGGTTTGTCCTTCCCACTCAGGGTAGTGTCACCAGCCATGTCTTTGTAAACCCTCAAGTGCTGTGCCTGATTTGATGTGGTGTATTTTCTGTTTTCCAGGTGAAATGTGAGGCCAGGTCAGCCTTGACCAAGCCGAAGAATAACCATAATAATTGTAAAAAAGTCTCCAATGAAGAAAAACCAAAGCTGGCCATTGGTGAAGAGTGCAGGGCAGATGAACAGGCCTTCTTGGTGGCACTTTATAAGTACATGAAAGAAAGGAAAACGCCAATAGAACGAATACCCTATTTAGGTTTTAAACAGAGTAAGTATACTGGTTTTCATTTTTGAAACATCAAAATTGCTCAAATTCTTTGAAATGGGGAAAAAGAAGTTCTGTTTTTTGGGTTTTTTGTTTTTTTCTTCTTTACTTGGAATTATGTTGAAATCCAAATCTGGGGATGGTGTTCTCTGTTTATACTAAATCTCCAAATTGTCCCAGCCAAGAATTTTTTTCCCTGCCTCTTTCCGCTACATTGTTCCCTTCTGGGACAGTTGCAGTGAGATATTTATAGGTTTGAATCCACTGATTATGACTGGAAATAGACATGTTGAAAGTTTTCTTATTTTCTGTTTTGTCAATCTTGAGTGCCTGTAACGCCTTTCTTGTGAGATAATAATATGACGTAGCCTTATCAGGCCAGATGTTGCCTGTGAAAAAGACAGCATATGAAAGGAAGACATTTAAAGATGGACAAAACAACCACAAAGAGAAAACACATTTCCTATGTCCCCAGTTTGTTAAAAGATAATAAAAATAGGACTTCAGGGGAGACAAGAAATATATAGATTTGAACAGAGGTCCCAGTTTTGAATAAGTTCGAGATGTACATCTAAGTATTGTTGTGTACAAGTAGACCAGGGAACTCAGAGCCTAGCAAAATTCCATATCAAAAGAGAAGAAATCCTGGTGTTGCCCTGAGTTCACCACTGAATATATATTTTGCCTCTGTCTGGATTTAGTGGTGCACAAAGCAATGAGCCTCTGGCTTGAAATAGTATTTTCTCTAAACGCATCTTCCTAGATTAAAACCATGTGTCATTTTGATGAAGAATGTCAAACCTGTATGTTTTACATAACAATTTACATACCTAATAGCAATTGGCACTGATTGCAAGAGAACACTCACAGCCATTATAAACTTATATAACTACGAATGATTACAATGTTTGTCTGAAAACTGGTTGCTTGAAATAGAAGTAAAATTAATGTACTATGAACAGCTTTGTTGCATTATGCATTGGTTCAGATTAAATCAAGGCCGAGGCAGGGCTCTTGATAGCTTTGAAATAGTGCAAGGTTCAATGAGGCTTTGCGAACACGTTGTGTCAAAGAGCCTTTTTTTTTTTTTAATTTTCATTTTATTCATTTCCCTTACCACAGAATAACTAGAAGTTCAATTTTTTCCCTCTTATAAATAAAAGAATCAAATCTGTAGCAGTCACATTCCATGGTATTTGCTACAAATGAAACAAGGTTGCTGGCAGTTGGGCATAATTGTTTAACAGTATAAATGTATACAAATCCTACAAAGAGAATCTGGAAAAAAAAAAAAAAACATATTAGCAACATCACACAGGCAAATTAGGGGACTAAATGAGCTCGTGACTCAGTTGTTCTGTGAATGAACATCTTCCTTCCCTTTGACCTATGGTAAGGTGGTTGCCTCCCACATGAATTACTTGTTTTCTTTGTCATTTATTGCAAGGGACCATGTACTTATGAAATACATGTGGTCTGAGCCTTTAATATAGTGTTGCCATCAGACAGTCTTAATATTAGGAAGGTAATCATATATTAAAGTGGCTGTAATTTATTGATCCCAGAAAGGTCTTATCTGAGGGAAGCATTACTTATTACTGTTTAGTCAATGGCTTCTTTCTAAAGGCTAAGTAAGACCAACCCCAATTTTGAAATCCTGGCACATTTTCCCAAGGTCACTCTAATTCAGCTTTTTTTTTTTTTTTGCTCTACTGATGGCAACAGAACTAAAATTATGTTGTTCTTTATCCTGAAACCAGAACCTCTCTGTAGTTTTTTGACTGTTTCTTAAGAAATATTTTAAGTGGTATAATAGATTCTGTTGTTGAATGCCCTTTGGCAAAATATTTCCTAAGAATTTAGCTCTCTGGGGTACATTAGTATTTCTTTTTTTTTTTTTTTTCTCTTTCTCATTGAAAAACAAAACAAAATGTTTTAATTGACATTTCTTGGAATTATGTTAATGCAATGCTTATCTAAATACTTATTGTCCCTCTAACAGTTAACCTTTGGACTATGTTTCAAGCTGCTCAAAAACTGGGAGGATATGAAACAGTAAGTGTTTAAGCAACTTAAATGAAATAATTTTGCAATCTAACTTTCCCCCTCTCTTTGGCCAAAATGGAGAAAATGCAAAAGCAAACCATCTTTGACTGCCTTTTCAAATGGCTCTACACTTTTGGGGGTTTATTGGGCTGCTTTTGGAAACAGTCCCAATTAGTTCCAGGTTTGGCAAAATTGTAAACTTGTCGTAAAAACTACAAGTGGAAAACATATGTAACTCTCCCCTGTCAGGGAAATTAGTTGGGTCTGTAATTTTTTCCCATGTTGAGAAAGGGCTATTATTGTACAACAAGCCAAGATTGCATAAAAGAAATTTCCCTTGGCAACATACCTGACATCTGTTCATGTCTAATATGGGAAATGTATTAAAGGCTTTCAAAAGTAATCAGGATTGGCCATTAAGGAATAGAATGCAGCAGAATCTCCTTTCGTTCTAGGGCAAAGAAGCTTTATTAGACAAGGGTCACTGCTGCATAAACAGGAAGTTATCAAACTTATTCAGAACAGGCTCTGACACTCTTTATCAGCTAATTCCAACTGACAGGAATGGGTTATTTTTAGCCCTCGGGAAAATTTGATGGCCACGGATTTTTACAGCATGTATTCTGAACCAATAAAATGTTAGAGCAACAAACCAAGATTAAGATCTTGAAATAAGAAAAAAGAGCTGCATTAATATAGCACACAGAGATGACATCTGTAATAAAATCAATTGACATAGGAAGATGTCGTCACTGGAAATATTTTCTCCTCCACACAGTGATCAGATTAAGTTGTGCCTTTTCTTCTGCAATTGAGTAAGAAATTATTTTTTCTTTCCTTAAGAAGTAATCTGGAATATCTCTGTACCATAGTAAAATGACAGTAAGAGACAGAGTCAAGAAAATGAAATTTATTTTAGCCCAAACACAACAACCAGTGTTTCTTGCCAGATAAAGCATATTGTTCCATAAACTAATATCATGTTTTGATGTTAGAGGCTTGGGATGGGAAAAGATGGCAAACATTATGTGATTCAGATAACCTGGTATTTACTATAGAGATATCTGCTATGAACCCTGACTAGAAATTCTTTGATATGATTATATGTATATATAAAATATTTATTTGATATATGGGGTATATGTGTGGTTTATAAGGAAATACAATACTCACATGAACTATATATAAAATGTGGATTTCATACACTTGAATTTACTTGAAATATTTGTTTTACCAACTACCCTGTGTAAAAATAAATACAATAATTTTCATTTGATTGAGTCTGTTGATAGGACCAGAATATAGATTCCTTGTCACTGTAGCTCATAGTTTTCCAAAATCTTAATTATAGCTTTCATCCTTGTGAAAATGATGATAACTTAGTAGTCAACCTCACAGCCTAGACTTTTAAACCTAAATCTAAATATTAAGAATAAGAGAATACATTTTTATGAACCGTGATTGCACATAGTTACATGATATTGCACAACATTATGAAATGTCTTTAAAAAGAAAACTCAGGAACTTTTTGTTATTCACTGATAGGAAGAGTGCCAGCACATTTCACAGAATCAGTTTTTCCTGCTTTTGTATCTTCTGTATCTTTACAAAGATATATTTTTTTTTTCCCCATGAGACAGCAAGTTGATGTAGAATGTACAGAAGAAACTTCTGATAAGTTTCAGGGCATTTGTGGAATCTTTCAACAAATAATATTTATTCTTTCGTTGAATGAATGAATGACTGTAGGATCAGCAGATCACTTGATCACATATTTACAGAATACTTGGTGTGTACAAGCTTGTATTAGACACTGTGGGAAAAGCAAAATATCTAGGCCTATGGTTCTTGTCCTTAAGTTACCATTCATAAGAAACTGTAGATAAAAGAAGAGGTGGAAAAAGATCAGTGCTCTGTAGAGGTAAAGCAGTTCCCCTGTGGGGCTGGGGAAGGAAGGCTTGATGGCTCTGATGACGTTTGAGCAGATTGGTGGTGGTGGAGGGGGGATGAAAGAGATTTAGAGATAAACGGTCATGGCTTTCCAGAAAGTGAGAATGAATTAAATGATGGTGGCAATGGCAACCCCTAGAGTTACTCAGTGGACTGTGGAAAGTGGGGAGCATAGAAGGTTGCCACCTCCCATCTCTGGTGATAAGAGTAGCTCTTCTCTCTGTGGGCGGCAGGGGGTGGAGAGCTCACTTTCACAAGTGGAAATTTATGCTGCTTTTAGGCTGATAAAGGAAGGGCAGAGAGGTCTTCTTGCATCTATTGATTCTCAGTTGCCTTCATCTTAGATGATCCTTATGCCAATTTGCATATTGGGGGATGACATAGTCTGATCCCCTTGCTTGAGGTGGGAGAAGATAGAAGTCCAAATTACACATTGGTATCTTCCCTCTAGCTGGTTATGAACAGTTTTGTTTGTTTGTTTGGTACTGAGTCACATCCACAGCCCCTTTTTAATTTTATATCTTGAGACAGGGTCTCAATAAGTTGCCCAGGGTCTCACTAAATTGCTGGGGCTGTCTTCGAACCTGTGATCCTCCTGCCTCAGCCTCCTGAGCCACTGGGATTACAGGCAAGCACTGCCATGCCCAGCAATGAACAAAATTTTTAAAGAAATTCCTCCCTATTTCCTTTCCAGTTTCCTTCCTTCATTGATGCTTCATGCTACCTATTAGCCCTATAGGCATCTAAATTCAACACTGCCATCCTGCATCTAAGCTTCCATAACTTCTATGTATAGAATATAGTTTTCTCTTGGCATTTTTTGTTTGGTTGGTTGGTTTTTGTTTTGTTTATTTGTTTTGTTATTGCAGATTGAACCCAGAAGTGCTTAACCACTGAGCCACATCTGCTGCCCTTTTTACTTTCTTTTTCATTTTTATTTTATTTATTTATTTTTGACCAGGGTCTCTCTAAGTTGCTTAGGGCCTTGCTAAGTTGATGATGCTGTCTTTGAACTTGAGATTCTCCTGCCTCAGCCTCCCAACCCACCAGGATTACAGACATCTGGGCATATTTTTTAAAATATTTTATGTTGTATGTGGACATAATAACTTTATTTTGTTTACTTAGTTTTTTTATGTGGTGCTGGGGATCAAACCCAGTGCCTCACGCATGCTAGGCAAGAACTATACCACTGAGCCACAATCCCAACCTATTGGCATGTTTTGACTAGTAAAAATCTGAGAAAACTTAATTTTGAAGTCAGTCTAGGAAATGTACAATAATATGCAGAGTCTGAGAATCTTCCACAGCACCTAGCTTCAAAATGGGACCCCAATCTAAGCTAAATATCAAAGATTAGACATTTGACTTTATACATGTAAACATGCTAGAATATTAACATTTCCACAGCTCAGGAGCAGCACCAAGCTTCAGATGAGTATTTTTCCATTCCGTAAAGTGGTGGTCAAAGTTCAACTTAGAGCCATTGCACTCTGAATAAGGGAAGGTGTAGCACTCTGAATAAGGGAAGGTGTAGCACTCTCATGTGTCTTTCTTGAATTGACAATTGTGTAAAAAAAGGCTTCTTGCTCTGTTCTAGTTCATATCCTCATTTTACAAATGAGGACACTGGGGCACAGGAAGATGAAATGAATTGCATGGTGTCATCGTGTCATTCTTCAGTCTCTGACTTGCTGAGAATTTTGAACACAATGGTCTCAACCTCCATAGATTCACTGAGAGGAAAGACATTCATAAATGACCATTCCTTGTGCCTTCCATTCCTAGCAATTCCTTATGTATCTAAAATGTTTTCTACATGTTTGGGGCCATGTCTTGGAAAGAGGGTCTAATAACTTGCTTTTGTTAACACCATCTTTCAGTCCATTCAAACTTGAGCTTTACCAGATGGATGAGTTACTAGCTGAGATTTTTTTTTTTTGTCTGATTCTTGGGGAAAGAATATGAATTTAGGAGATGGGTCAAAAAATCTTGATAATGTAAATATTCAGTAATAATCACAAAGTGCAAGTTTAAAATTTGTAGATGTATTACTTCTGCTGTTAACTTGTGATTGGATAAAGACATCTTTCTGGAATTCCTTCTGGTTATAAAAAGAGGCCATCTTAATTGGCTTGTTTTTGTTTGTGGTTATAAACTATTCCAAACCTTCTGGTTTGAATTGTGGATTATGGATTATTTCATTTCAGTCCTTCACAACCCTCAAATTGAATTAAAAAAAAAAGAGGAGCAGAAGTTTTATTTTAAGCCTTTATGGCATTTGACTAATGACTATATACAATCCCCTAGCCTCCTCTGCTTTTGCTGGAAATGTATAAAGTGTCACTTCATTTTTAGGTTTAGAGATCAGAAATGCATTGAACAGATTTGATTTTCTAAAAAACAATATTCTGGCATTTTGATTGGTTGGCAGTGAGAGTTCTTACTCTGCAGTCATCTATCCACCTTTTCCTCCCAAACATTAGAGAATGGATCACCTACAATTGAAGAGGCAGAACTGGCGAGCTACAGAAACCTTCACCTCAGTGTCTGGGGAAGCAGTTAATGCTGGAAGAGTAGCTTGGGATATTACCAGGATGCAGCATATGGAGAGTGGTTTGCTAAAGCAATTTCCATTTTGCTAACCATTTGATGGCAAGCCAGACACAATATTTGGAACGAAGATAGAGTAGGGAAATGGGTATTGAAGAAATCTTACCCTGGAGGCGGGGGGTGACACTTGGGTGGTACCTTCTTAAGAGTGTTGGTGAACAGCCTCTTCTCTTCCCACCAGTGAGACAGGACCATGATTTTTCATCTGGAAGAAGTCACTTGTCTTCTTGCTGGAAGGATTAGGCTTTGACATCAAATTCTGGCTTTGACATCCTTTTCAAGACATCCTCTGAATCTAACCTGAGTTTTCTGGACAGACAAAGCCTCTGGCTTAATTCAGAGTTCTCGAGGCCAAAGATGATGTCATGTAGTTTTGAAAGGCTCCAGTTCCTGGAGTACTACCAGGAAAAAAAAGTCATCTTCCTTGAATTCAGTTTGCTCTCAAGGTGTCCTGAGAAAGAGACTGTTTCTCAGAGCAGCCTGGGCAACACTGTGTGCAAGCTCCTTTGACTTCATATTTCCTATGCATTCTCAAGCCATTGGAAGAACTAGAGTCCAAATGATTTCTGATTGCTGTTTCCTCACCGGGCCACAAAAATATCAGCATTATTTCCTTCCCAAATCTTCAAAGAGAGAAATCAAGGCTCCAAGAGTCTTGGGTTAACATAGTAGTTGTCTACAATTTCATTTTTAAGTGACAGAATATTTTCATCAAATAAAATTGTGGAAGGAATAGCTTCTTCCCATTCATTAGACCTGCTCTTGACCAGGATCAGCAGTGTGGAGAGTTAGTTTCAGGCCACCTTTAAAACACCACCTGGGTTCTAAAGAGCAGTATGAAAACCACTACATTTATAAGCAGTGAAAATTTTATGAACATAATAGTCATGGAGTGCTTTTCATAGAGTTCCCTAGATCCTGCCTACACTAGGGAAAGAAGTAACTTTCAAGTGTCTTCAAAGTAAGATTAGAGTCACGTGAACCCAGATTGGTTTATTTTACCTGGGCATGGTCTGCTCAGTTTTTCATCCTGCTTGTGGTTAATTGTGTGGAATTATGCTTCTTGCTAAATTATGAACCCTTGAAAGCAGTAACATTCTTTTTTTTTTTTTTTTTGGTAGCAGGGATTGAATCCAGAAGCACTTAACCACTGACCCACATCCCCAGCCCTTTTTTATATTTTATTTAGAGACAGGGTCTCACTTAGTTCCTTAGGGCCTTGCTGAGTTGCTGAGACTGGCTTTGAACTTGCAATCCTGCTTTAGCTCTCCAAGCCTCTGGGATTATAAGTGTGTGCCACTGAACCTAGTGAAACATCCCTTTTTTCCATGGTCTCCTCACCCTCTACCTTCCATCCTCCTCCACATCTCTTTGTAACCTCTCTGTAACCCAACAGGGTCCCCTAAAATGGTAAGCAATGGTAGATGATGATGTCATGAATCCCTGTCATCCAAGTGAAGACCTTGAAAGAGGGATGGGGGGAAGCACAATCCAAGAGAAATAACTGGTTGGATGAATTTGGGCATTTCCTTTTGGAAATGAACAGCTAGACATTCTCTTAAGAACTTAATATAATAAAAGATCAGATTGAAACATAAACATAACCAGGAGGCCTAAAGTTTGGTGAGAGAGTTGATCAAACTAGCCTCGATCAGATTTCCCAGCTGGCTGGGGTTGGGGGCTAGATAGCAAGAGGCAGACATTGGTTTTACCCCAGGTGGGTTTTTAAAGCTAATGCACCCCTAGAGAAGACACTGGACAATAGAATAAAAACCCCAAGCAAATTCATAATTAGGCATAGCTAAAACGTGTTAGGGTCGATGGCAGATTTATGGGAGGTTAAGGGATGGGTCAGGAGAGTCTCCTGCCCTTTCCCCTCTCCTTATTGGTTTTTGAGATCCCTGGTGGGTTTGGACAGTAGAAGGAGTTTAGACATTTCTTACTTTAGAGACCATAGTCATTGTTTGAATATAGAGTACACTAGGAGACACAAAAAGGAAAAAAAAAAAAAAGATCCGTGTGCTCAAGAGAACTGTGTGCTTAAAAAGCATTTAGCTGTTGGGAAGGGCACATTTTATGACTTTGCTATGGAAAGAAAATATCTCAAAATGGTCTGATTCACGCAGGCTGTCCACTGGAATTCAGTGAGCAGAAAGACCACTTTCTCCAAGGTTTAGTCCTGTCTTCACTCCAGATGAAGCCTCCCTCATAAAAACTGTATTGAAACACCAGAACCTGTTAGCCAGGGGGCTAACATAGACCCTGAGCTGGCTGAACATGGCTTATTAACACACAGTGCTGCTTCGAGCTGCCATGTTTTCAAACCTAGCGTGAGGTCTCCTTTTCTCCCTTTCGATAATTCATTATTTATTCTTAAAGCAGGCTTGTCATTTTTATGATAGCAAGAGTTTGTTAGGGTAATTCCTTGTCTAAATGGTATATTGTGGGAGGGAGACAAGGCCAGTGTGCATGCATTAAATGTCCCTATTAGCAGTGGGTTCTCTTGTTTGTCATCTTTTTCACGACCTGTGTTATTTTGTTTGTATATTCCTTAGTTTGTTTTGGGTATCCCCAACTAGAATGTAGTCACCTCCAGTGTCAGGTCTGTTTTTCATTATTGCACCCAACTACTAACATAAGACCTAAAAAATGGAAGATATTTGGTAAATTGTCGGTGAATGAATGAATGGGCAAGTGGAAAGATTCTCATATAATTGGAACTTCTCTGGGTCTCAGTGATCATAATACAGACCCTCTTATCCTAACTGGAGACATAATTAGTCACAGTAGAAGGAACCATAGTTTATCTTCATAGTTGACAGTGCACCTTTTGACTCATGCTGACCTGTTAGCGGTATTTCCCCACAGAGGAAAACCAAAAGCTCTAAATGTTGAGAACCGATAGTAAAAGTTGTGTTTTCCTTAGTCATCTGCTGCATTTTATGGAAAAGGCCCCAGAGTCCTGCATTACCACATTACCACAAGAGTGGGCTGTTCATCAGGTCATTCTGGTGAGGCTTCTTTGATATTTGAGTCTTCTCTTGGGACTATGAGACAACCAACCATATGAGTCTGGATTTTGCCACTATGCTGCTGTGTGTCCTTGGGCAAGTTATGCAAGCCTTGAGTCTCATCTTCTTTATCTGTGAAGGAGATTCCAAAAACCTATCTCATAGGCTAAGAGAAGATTAAAATGATAGAAAGCAAGAATCTTTTACACCATATAAAGTGCTATATACAAGAAATATAAGAATGAAGTGAAGGTTTCTTCTCAGGTGATTGCAGGGACACAGACACACCTAGGCTGCTCTCTGGCCCTGCTGTGCTTTCCTGGCCCTCATACCTCTTGTGAGGGATGGGATGTTGGAGGTGTATTTCAAGGGATCCCAGTATTCTAAGGGCTTTGAGGGATAGTGTAAACACCTGGAAGGAGATCATCTTCTTCCTTGATAGATGACCCTAGAATAGATCAGCCCAAGATTGTATCATTGAAAGATTGGAGGGAGATTATAATTCAGTATATAATGATTTTCAAAATATTTATATTAGGTGTTTTAAAGGGGGTTTTGAAACCAATTAACTAAACCATAAATATGGAGGATTTTATTTTCAGTTGTCTGTGCTAATAGATGTAAGATATGGTTCTGTTTAATGAGAACAGTTGGAACAAATTGGTTTGAGAATGCTTTTTGGGAAATTGAAGAATGCAAAACTAACCTTGTCTTTGAGATCCTGCTTGGATCTGTTGAGAAGAGATTATGGAAATGAAAGGGTTCTTTTTTATTTGAAATGGAAAAGGTATTATTTACCCTGTAACATCTCCCCATTCTTCTCCTTCAACTGCAATTACAGAGTCCCAGTTGCAAATTGAGATTCCTCCAGCCCCACTGCTGCCTTTTGCCCCTTGGGTGAACTCTGCTGGTGCTGAGAATTCCATGGGTATTTTTCAAAAAAAAAACAACTCCTGTCCTGATTGTACTAAATGCCACTGGCACCTTTGCATCTGTCCCCTACATAGTCCAGTAGCACAGTTTTCCTGTAACCATGTTTTGAAATGTTCAACTAGGACCTCAAAACTTGCCCTGTCTTCCTAGTTTCAAGGAAACACTAGACTTGCTTGGATGTAGTAAGTGACGTGGTTTCCCCAAAATAATCATTTGCCAGATCTTGCATCTGTTATTTTGTTAAAATCTTAATTTATGTACAAAAGTAAAATTTAAAAAAAAGAAGAAGAAGACCACAGTGTGCAGTTCAGTGTATCAGTATATTTCAAGCTGTTTGTTTTTATTCACCCAACTCAATAATACACATAAGTGAGAATTCTAACTTTGGAATATGTTAGTTTACATAGGATTTGATCAATATCCCATACTCCTGACCTAAGTGAATAAAAATAAACAGCTTGTGACATATACAGTTTCAGATTTTGGTTTTGTTTTGGTGGTTAGAAGAACTGGCATAAAAATATAGCCTGAGATGACTGTAAATTCCTCAACCGATTTGATCATTTTATTTAATCTATGTTGTCATTTTATTTATATTTTAAAGTAGGTAGCATATCACATGGTTCAAAAATCAGAAGATACAAAACCATGTTTAGTAAAAAAATCCTTTCTTTTTTTAACCTGTGAACCTGGCCACCCGCCTTCACCAGACTTAGGCAACCAGTATTAATTTTGATTCATTTAAGCTGATGAACTAAGATAAAGTTTTTATCCTCCTGTGATTTATCACAGGAGGGGGACAAACAACTACATGAATAGCCAGGGAGATGCCTTAGATGAAAACGCACGTGGGTGACAAAAATATAGAGCCATTTTTATTGTAAAGTGAGATCTTGCTATAAAACCACAAGTCTCCCCATATATTCACTTGGACTTCTCTGTTTCTGGGTTTCCAGAACAGTCTGTTCTATTCTGACTGTTACATTTGTATTGAAGCCTGGCACTGTGACTCGCCGATGGTGCTAGATTGAATTTCTCATTGCCATTTTTTCAGATAACAGCCCGCCGTCAGTGGAAACATATTTATGATGAATTAGGCGGTAATCCTGGGAGCACCAGCGCCGCCACTTGCACCCGCAGACATTATGAAAGGTAAGGAACCATTTCTTGGAAAGTCTTTGCGAAATTAAAAGTGTGTTCATTGGAAGAAGCTCTGGTCAAAGATAAGACAGAGGAAGTCTAAAGGACCTTTTAGGGAACTGTAATATCCCTATGGCATTTTCTTTGCATCTTGCCCTGTGATTTTTAGAGAACATGGCTTTCTCTGGAGTTGAAATTAGGTATTCTTTTAGTTTGGTTTTGTCCTATGACCACCTGTCTGGCAATGCCTTCTTCTCCCTTTACAAGCATAGATTACTCAGGATGTTTCTGGGGGGTCATTTACCATGAAATATTTGCACTTCTGGAAAAAAAAATCTGCAATGTTACTATGATGTTGCTTTGTAACTGAATTAACATTAAAGAGTAAGTGTTCTTAGGATAACTGCACTGGTCTCAGAGAAGGTCTGTTGTTTTTTCCCATCTTAGTATTTTTTTTTTCTTCTATGGCTTTGCCTTTGTCCCAAGAAATCTTCTTGCCAAACTCCATGCAGCTTAGTTTTCTAACAATTTCTGCCTGTTTCAGAAGGGTGGTGATAATGCAACCAGGAAGCAATGCAAGAGTTAGTAGCCTCCTGTAGGTTGTGTCCGCAAGAGTCTTTCCCCTTTGCGTTAGGACTGGGTTACCTACAATGTTGATGGCGGGTTTGCAAATTTGTGCATTATCCTGTTCTGTGCTTCAAGCTTCATTGATTCATTTTGTACCAACTTTCTTAAAATTGGCACTTCCCAGAAGAAGTGCATTGATGGAGTGAACAACCTGGTTTCAAATTCAGACCTTGGGAGATCAAGTAGAAGTGTGTGTGTGTGTGTGTATGTGTGTGTGTTTTAATAGTGACTATGCATGCAGTCTTAATCTGAATAAACAGACCAGTTAACTTGCTATTTTGAAAAGTAAAGCAACTACTAAATTTACTGGATCTTCTTAGAGTTGGTTACAATTCCCACTTCAGTCCAGTTTGACTAGAATATCAGCGATATTCACTTTTGGATTATATATGGGCATTCTCAGGTGATGCCATTTAACTCACCAGTTCTTAGTCATGTTTCCTTTAAGTTCAGTTGTACTTTAATCTGTACTGAATTTATCCTACAGCCTCTTTTAGTATGGCCATTCAACAAAAGTTAGAATGCTTTTGTAGGAATAATCGAAGTAAATTGAGTTGGGTTTAGTACCTCATGAAAATTTTCCACAAAGTATTCCCAAGAGCTTGCCTTGGCAATGTTAGAATCCAGAAGGATTTTTAAAAATTGACAGTAGGCTTTCAAATGGCTGCTCTCCTTAGTGTTGTTTTTCAATATAATGCATCGATTTTAAAAATATATTATTTCTCTCAGTATTTAATACAAAACCCCTGCACATCCTCATTGTACATAAAAGGTACACTCCTAATGCACCATATCTCCTCAGGTGTCTGTTCTATAAATAACATCCAAGGATACTATAGTCTACTTGGTTTTTGACTTGTGAATCAAGGTTTTAATTATATCATTTTTGTTAGAAATATTGTCTCTACTTTCAAATAGCTTCACTTCTGAGAGTGAATGTCCCTTTCCTTCATGGGCAAATGTCCCCAACACCTGAACCATTAAACTTAAAGGACCAAATAACAAATAAAATTAGAAAAAGCTGTGAGCTAGCTCAGTGTAGTTGAAGAGTGCACACACTAATCCAATGAATTACAAAACATCACATGGTCAGAAAATAAGTACATAATGTTTGGGATAGAGAGAAGGATTGAATCCAATAGTGTGTGTGTGTGTGTGTGTGTGTGTGTGTGTGTGTGTGTAATTCACTTGAGAAATTATGTCTAAAAATAACCCCCGTCTTAAATGAAATGCCAAGATATTTTCTTTTGAAGGTGATGCACTTTGATTCATGATTTACCTCTTCTTGAAGTAGCAGATTTCCCAAAACCTTCAATCAGTCAAAGTGGAAAATTCTAGTAGACATACCACAAACTCTAACCCTTACCAAACATTATCAGGGTTTTAAAAAAAAGTTCTTTTCATTATTCTTGGGGTCAGACTGGATAATTCATAAAGGTCTGTTTCCCACTGGATTAAAGTTTTTGAAGAGCCACGTTATTTTTCCAAATCTAGAATTTGTGTGGTCAGTGTATCAGTCAGGGTGCAGGAAGAAAAATAGAAACCACTCTAGATTTTCAATAAGGAGAACTTACCTTATGGACTTTCTTAAGCTGATGTTGATGTAAAACACTGTTGGTATGGTGCTAATATGAAAAGCAAGCAAAAAAGAAAGAGAAGGGGGGTCCCTTATCCCTTCCTCATGTATCCCAGAGTCCCCTATTTGCAGAACCATCACAGGAAGACAGCTGACAAAAGGGACATGGCATTTAAAAGTTCCTCTCCAAATATAACCTAGTAGGGTACAGCACAGTGAACTTATAGTTGAGAGACAATAATCCAATTGCCAAGTTGAAACCTCAACAGGGACAGCTCTGCACAGCTCTTCAGACAATTAGCAAGCTCTTAGTGTTTTTTTCTATATTTCTTTTGTGATCTTGTAATCAGATGCAAGGGGTACCATAAATAATTACTCATTAATAATAGCCAACCGCCAATATTTGAAGATCATTGATTTATTTTTCAAAAATTCAGACTGCATTTACAGTACCATGCTCATTCTGGAACCAATCACCATCTTTAAGCAATCACCTGTAATCCTACATGTTGTGGTGGGGCTAAGAAGCTGGGGCATCTTCTCTTTATTTGGTTCTCCCAGAGAAAGGCAGAGGATACTCAGATCTGTACAGAGACAGATCAAAGAAGTGACTATACTCCTGGCTAACGCTGCATGATGAGGGTGGATTTCATCATTCTCGCTAGTCACAGGCTGCACAAACACAGATGAAACAGAGATGACTAGATTGGTGAAGGGCCACTGTTTTTATGAAGGCTCCTTGAGAAGGGTCAGGACTTTGCAGGCACATGTCTAATCTGGAGATGCCCTTTGAAATTCTTACAGCCTTCCAAAACCATCTCAGAATGATTGGAATCCCTACCTGCTGGTTTCTCCTTCTTTTCCTTCCTATTATGGAGACTTGCTCCTTTACCTAGTCCCTCCCTCCAGCTTTGCTTTCCTAGAAGATGAGAAAGGAGCGAGTGATCTACTATGCATTATCCACTGATGTATTTTTCATGCAGTGTGGTTCATGATTCCAGTAAATGTTTTCATTTTACTACAAGAAAAAAGTAGCCAGTTCCTCAGTAAATGTTACTTGTATATTAGTTGGGCACTTTTGGTTTATTAATGAGTGTAATAATGAAAGTGCGGGCTGTTGAAAAGAATCAATGGGTGTTTTTATTTAAGGCACAGCAGAAATGGTACAATGCCTGTGAATGCATCATTGTCTCTGAAGGCCCGACTCGTCCAAACTTGCCTCTGATTGGTTTAAATCAAATAGGTCCAAGCACTTCATAAAAATGTCTTTGTCAGCCTGGTTTTGCTTCCAAACCTATTCATCTCTGTCAGTTTTTAATATTAGTACCAGGCTCCTGGCCATAGTCCATTAGTACTGTACTTAATTGCTCATGTTACAGATGATTACCAATATAAAAAGCATTAATGTGTTCCCATCGCAAGGCTGTTGCTATGTAGATGTCTCAAACTCAGCAAAGCTTATGAAATGTGGTTATTCTGGACATTTCTTGCTCAGGATTTATAGATAAAGTTACTATAGATTATAGCGCAAAGAAAAATGCCCACATCCTCCTAGGCACAGATCCCTTCTAAGTGGAACATTTTCTTTTTGTCCAACTCTTTACCTAAGACGTCCCAAATCATTTTATCAGTAAAGGAAACCAAAAGGAAAATGGCTACATTTATGGAATTTTAGCTTGATTTTTCTGGAATGGTAATGCACTTTAAAGGCTTTGTTTTCACATGCAGATTTCTTTCTTTCTCTCCCTCTCTCTTTTTCTTTTAAATGTTTTTGAAGCACAAGCAGGGGAAAAAAAGTCTTTACACAGAATACCAGATTACTGGTTTTAATTTTCCTGAATAAATTACATGGTCTGTTTCTGTAGAGCACATGAAGTAGTTATTAGGGATTTTAAAAGGAGCATTAAGGCAAAAGTACTCTGTGATGTGCTTTTCTGAGTATTTAGAAAATCAAAATCATAAACAAATGTATTTGTTTGTGAGGGAAATGAGCAATTACGCTTCATCTTCTTGCATACGTAATGCCCAATTTCAAATTCTAACCTTCTGCTTTTCCCATAAGCATTTCTTGGACAAGACTGTCACTCTGCGTGGCTGACGCAACTTCCTTCTTAGTGTCTTGGGGTGAGTTGTGCCCTAGCCAGATGCACTTGGGCAGAAACCGAGTGACAGACTGCTGGAGGGTCTGCCTTATTTTTGCTAAAGGTGGTAGGCAAGGTAGGGGAGGCTTCATGCTCTGAGTAAGATGAGCATGTGCTTTAGAATAAAGACTAAAAATCTGTCAGCTTCTAAGGAACTCAGCTAATCATGCCATGGCAGTAGGCCAAAGAAGTCAAGGTGAGTTACAGTTCTGTTCATGTTCGGGACACAATTCCATGATTCTTGCTCATTTTGACATCCTTGAAGCTAATAAATACAGAATTGAGAAAGTCCCAGTCAGGACCTCAGAATTTTACATTTGAAAGGTCCCTTAGTACCCACCCTGCTAAGACCACTGCTACTAATATGAGGTTTTCTGGCCCATCCATGATTTGCTTGCTACTAGTCTATAAAGAGCTAATAGTAAGCACAACTTCAAATAACCTTTGATACACTTTTCCTGAAATTTGCCAGAATAATTTTATGTCTGTTGAATGTAATAAAAAACTGGGGCTTGTGTTTTGTGTGGCTTTATTTGGGGGGGGGGTGGCTATTGGGGATTGAACTCAGGGGCACTCAACCACTGAGCTACATCCCCAGCCCTACTTTGTATTTTATTAAAGAGACATGGTCTCACTGAATTGCTTAGTGCCTCACTTTTTTTGAGGCT